TACCTGATACACGCCTTTATAGTCCTCCTGTTACGCAGGATGTTTGACGTATTCAAAGCACGCAACTCCTCATGTTGGATTCCGTAGATATCTCAGGTCTTAGGATCCAATCATGGAATCGCCATATGAGATTCAAATCATGACGCTAGTCCATATGACAATCTCATGTGGGTCATTCCAGTATTCTGTTCTCCAACGAATACCTATGATTGTGATCGTATCCAATACCTATGATCATCTATATGATCATCAATCACACATCATACTTGTCTTAGTATATCATTATTCCCACAATGATACATGACTAGGGAGTTTAGTATTGTTCATAACAATACATGGATTTCATAACATATCAAGTATGCACAATACGTAATGAATCAAACACTCATCTATAGACTCATAGAAATTGTCAATACATCAAATGTATCCAAGTAAAGCTCGTAAACAGTACATCACAGAGCACTAAACCAACATAGAGGGCAAGGTATTCTTCCTGCCTACAGTGATCGGACGAACACATCAATTGATATAGGCCCCGGATCGATTAAGGTAAGCGTTCTAACGTTTCTACAAGATCATGCATGATAGGTTTTAGGGTTTTATCAAAAATTTTGTTTTACATCCACTGCGCAAACCCTAGAATCGATCTCTTAGGAATAGGATTCGCTCATGAGATCCCAGGAAACCCAACAAGTGGAGGCCAGACCGATTGGTCCAGAAGGTCTGGATCGATCAGTCCAGCCAACCCAGACCGATTGGTCCAGACACGTGGACCGGTCGTGTAATACCCCGAAATCTGATTTGAATATTTAATTATTTTCAAAGATAAATAAGTAAATAGACAGGACATTAGTTTAAATATAAGGTACAACATCAGAAAAAAGGACACAAAATAGATCAGACTGGTCAGCCCAAAAAAAAAGGACACAGAATGATCTAAAGTGGCGGAGAGTTGATTCGATCGAGTAAAAGCAACTCGTACAATTTTGGTCAAATTTGGTTGAATCAGTTTCATTCAAGCGAAAAATAAAACGATGTGGAAACTCGGTCGAATTTGCATAAATCTGTAAAATGATGAATAGTGTCGGTGAATAGTGACCATGAATAGTAACCGAGCAAAAATCCCACATCGAAAATTCTACCCATTTTCAAGGATTTGGAACTCTATATAAGGGGAGTTTGGCTCAAGACTTCAACACACCAAGTCCTAAGTCCTATAGGGGATCTAGAGAGCTTTATAAGAAGTCTAATACGACCATAAGCTCTCGGGAACCTCTGCGGACTAGCGACAATTTTTTAGGCCTTATCAGGCCAGATCCACTTGCTGGATCTATCTGCGGTGTAGATACCGTAGAGGGCGTTACTTTTTGTGGCGTCTTCTAGTGGTGCACGGACGTCGCCAGGTCCAGTCTCGCCGGTTAAGGTTAGTATCTCTCTTCGTGTTTTAGTGTTTTCCTATTCTAGGATTAATAAATTATGAATTTATCTTTCCGTTGCATAGTCTTAGAACTAGGTTAGTGCCATGGTGGAAACCGTGACAGTAGGCTAAGGAAATCAAACAAACAACCTTTCAATTCAGTCGATTTTGGACAGAAAGAGAGTAGAGGAGCAAGAGAGGGGGGAGAGTAACCAACGCACGTGGAGTTTGGAGACACACAGGACCAAGTACTGAGCACAATATCCGAGCCGAAACATAGTGAGTGGTTTTGAGTTGAGTTTGTGAGATTCAATTCTCATGTTTAATGGTGTAGATTAGTATTTCTGCAAGGATTTAGGTCCTAAGGATGTTTAGTAATAAATGAGTAGCAATTGACATAAAAAGCCGATAAAAAAAAAAACTAGACATGAGAAATAATGATTTAGAACGCACCCCTGAACTGACCGATCCGGTGAACAGATCGATCGATCCAGGCATATAAATGAAACGTACCAAGTACCTGTCTAGATCGGACGAATTGACTCAAATGGATTAAAACGGTAATATGGTGTTAAATGGTATTTAAACGAAATAGGATAAAATAAGGGTGAACAAAACGTGAAAAAGGTAAAAGTAAATAGAAGAAAGAAATTAAACCGAAACGAATACGAAGGGTAAATCTAAGAGAAATACTCGGAATTGCGATGTAGAAATAACTGATAAATAATTATGATAATGCATGTGATTGAATGACTAAGGAACCCCGTACTTAGTACCGGTTGACGGCGTGAGTCAGTGCTAGTACGGGGATGTGTGGATTTAGAACCAGTGCCGGTTGACGAACTTGGAGTCAGCACTGGATGATATGTGGTTTCGGTAATAGTACCGGTTGACGAACTTGGAGTCAGTACTATTACCGAAATGGAATACCAGTACCGGTTGACGATGTGGAGCCAGTACTGGTATAGTTGGGTGGACGTTTCTGGAGCGGTGCCGGTCGACGATGTGGAGTCAGTACCGTTAAGGAAATGTATAGTGAAGCCAGTACCGGTTGACGGCGTGGAGTCAGTACTGGTGGATCTGAGTGGTCGTCTTTATGATAGTACCGGTTGACGAAGTGGAGTCAGTACTATTATAGGGAAGCAGGGTAAAGTCTAGTACCGGTAGACAAATTGAGTCAGTACTAGATGATACCGAAAGGAACGGTACCTGATAGTGCCGGTGGACGACTTGAGTCAGTACTATCAGGTATCGAAAAATGTGTGAAATGATGGTAATGTATTAGGAAGATAAATGATAAAGAATTAAATGGATGAAAATGAATTCTTGTATCGAGAGACCAGTTGGCACCGTTCTCCATGAGAATGGGCTCTCCGGGCTCAACCCGAGCTACTCACTAAGCATTTCGCTTAGCCCTCCGTTGTTGAATTTTTCAGATCCCGAGGAGCACGAGTAGCACACTGTGGACGACGACAACTGGTGAAGACATCATTTATGTACGGTTAATTAATC